TAGCCCGGGCAAAAGAGTGAGACTCTGTCTCAAAAAACAAACAAACAAAAAAAACATAGGAATCTGACTGCAGATCTGTAAAGTGATATACACTAAATACAAGAGAGAATTACCTAAACAAGTAAACAGCTATTTTTAGGACTCATACTGGTAGTGCTATTGCTATTTTGAGATTGTTATGTATATGTTAATATTACGGGATATAGCAATAGAGTTACAAATGTAAAATTGAAGAGGTTCAGTAAAAACCCTGTTATCCTGAATCTGAACTGGAAGAATTATAAACAGTCATGCATTTTATCTTTCAAAAAACTTTTTTTTAGCTGTGTCTATGGAGTTGTCCATGAACACACTAGCAATTAGTACCCACAGGACTCACATTCTGATTTCTTAATGCCGTTCCCATTAAAAGGTGCCAGAAGTCCTTGGAGAAATGACATTCCAGGTCTGGGGCAGAGCATGTACAAGATGGGCCTGGAACATCTTGTCATACCACATAGCAAAGAAATTACAAAGATTACTGGGGTTGATCCAAAGGACTCAGGGACCAACCTGAATAGGATCCCAAAATTATAGATAATCTGGGTTATCAATGCCTGTGATCACTGCAACTGACTAAAAAATATGAGTAAATCCACAAGTTTATAATGACATTCTTTTAAAAAACAACACTCAATTGTTCACCTTTGGAGGACACTAGTAAACCTAAGCTTTATTTTGAACACGGTTAAATAACATAAAAGAATCATTTATCTTGTCTGGGGAACCAAAGAATAGAAGAGTAGTTCTTCTTTATAAAAGTATCCAGCTAACAAGTGAAGAAGTAATGACAGAATAAGACTGTCATCACTGACCATAAGTATAGCTGCAAATATCATAAAATGTAAGGCAGCCAGATATTATGAGCCACCTGACGGGAGAGCACACCAATCTTACAGAACAGTCCTATAACAACAAAAAGGCTGAACTGGAATCCAACCAGGCCTGGATTCAACCATTGCTTTATAGAAAATAAAGGAATCTATTAAATTATGCCTAAGCGGTACAATTATCAAAAATCAGTCTATAGGAAACTCTTCAAGAGAAACAACCTGGTTTCTTTATCAAACACACTGCAAGGAGACAGACTGAGAGCTCGAGGGAAAGTCTACTGGAGACAAGAGATTTAAAAGACACATCAATCAATCACAACATACAAACCTTATCGAGACCATGAATTAAACAAACTTACTTAAAAAAATTACTACATTTTTTAAGAAAATCAATTGGATACTATTAAGTAATTAACGCTGTTTGTGACAAATATGTACAGGTGAAATGACAAAATGTCTGCGATTTGCTCCCAAATATAAGGGGAACAGGGGAGTGAGTGGAGGCATAACTGAAATAAAATTGGCTGTAAGTTATTCATTGTTAAAGCTGGTTGGTGAATACACAAGGATTTTTTTATAGTATCTGCTCTACCTCTGTATGTTTGAAATTTTCAATAATAAAATATGAAAAAAAACTAGAGTCTCACTAAAATGCTAACCTTTTAAATCTACAGTTTGTGGTTTCTTTGCAAAATAAAAAATTATTATTCTGTTACTGTAGTAACTAAACTCCCCAGACAAGATCTATCTTCTTTCTCATAAATCAGATTTGATAATGCAAACATTCAAAATCTCTTTTCTCAATAATCAAAAGTATAGAGCACACAAATAAGAAGTAACTTTAGCTGGGATTTTTTAAATTTAAGATAGTTATATAAAACTTCAACCTCATTCAATGTTTTACATACTCAGTTATTTTAAAAGAAAACAAATAAACCAAAACAAACATAAAGAAGAAAACACAATTTCAAGATTTTTCAAGTACTACATTAGTAACAAGTAAATGAAGCAACTACCCTCTCTGACTACTTTTCCTATTAAAAGGAACTCCTTATTCTCCCATTAAATTGATTTTCTTCCTTCAAGTTTTTTTCCTGATGATAATCATACACATGTAGAAAATGAAAAATACATTAAAAACGCTAAAGAAAAAACTCAAAATCCCACCACCCAAAAATAACACTGTCAGCATTTTGGTGAATCCTATTCTAAAATTTCTCTAAACATATTATTATACATATAATTAAATAAATGAGAATTAAAATACATACTATTTGGAAACATATTTTTTCACCTAACAATGTATACAGAGCCTCCTTTGTCAAATATTGTTAAGCACTATCTTTTTTAATAGTTGCATAGCTCTTTAGTGAGTGCATGGCTATACCACAACTAATCTAACCAAACTTATACTGATGAGCATTTAGAAGTTTTTTAAAAGCTTAACAACAATACATGAATATCTCTGTGACTGATTACCTACTGTCTCTGAGTTTTAAACCTATTCTTTCATAATCTACTCTCACATCCTGGAGCTGTAAATCTGTAAACCACATTGCTCAGACTCCCTTAAGAGCTGACTTCCTGGTAGTTTCTTCCAATAAGAGACACTAGAGCTTCTTTAGGCATTCTGAGCAGTAGCTTCACTGTCCGTAGCAATAGCCAAGCCATATCATACCTTGGCAGTC